CTGTCAGCTCCCTGGCCAGGTTGGCAGCCCACACAGCATTGTGTTATCCTGAGTCTAAGACTTCCTGCAAGGATAATCTGAGCGTGCAGCTGAGGAGGAGGAATGTAACAGAGATATGCTCAGTGGCCCTCTTCTTTAGGACCCAGCTGAATCTGCTTTGCATATACCTCTCCAGAGAGCCCCCACCTCACACAGGTACTATTAATGGACCCCCAGGAGAGGAGACAGGTCAGCAGGAGGAAGAACAGGCACTCCTGGCAAGATGAGGTCCCCATCTCAGCTCTTGTGCTTTCTGGTGCTCTTCATCTCAGGTGAGCAAAGAAAGGGGATATGGTCCTCTGAGGCACCTTCCCATGGACATTGCCAGAGGGGACCCACTGAGCATGTGCCTGAGACAATCTTCCTCCAAAGGAAATCGATTCCTCACCCCAAATGTTTCCTTTGAGTAGTGAAGTATGTATGCTTTGCACAGGTTAAATTGATTGTGTCCTTACACTGACCTTGAAAAGTCTTATGAGATTGCAGGTGTAAAAATGGGCACTGCCCTCACCCAGTCCCCAGCTCTCCTGGCTGTCTATCTTGGGGAAAGAACCACCATCACCTGCACAACCAACCCCAAGAAGAACTCCAAGTTTTCTTGGTACCAGCAGAAACCAGGCCAGGCCCCTAAACTCCTGGTGCATGGCACATCCACCCTGGCTTCTGGAGTCCCAGCATGGTTCAATGGCAGTCATTTAGGAGAACATTTTACCCTCACCATCAGCAACATGGAGACAAATGATGCTGGCACTATTACTGCATTGAGTGGCCAGGAGACCACAGTGACACATTCCCGAATAAAACCCCTCACAGCTGCAGAGAGCAGTGGCACCTCATGATGCATGAAGCCCAGAGTCCTGGGTGTAACTGCTTCTCCTCTGAGGCACTGTGTTTGTCCTGTCACCTGCAGAAACACCTCCCAATGGCACAAAATGACCCAGCACTGCTCTTCCAGAAAAAGGTGGTGGAGCTTGTTGAAGTCCCTGGAGCATTCCAGGAGGAAGGTCAGACATGGAGCATGAGATGTGCTTTCACTGAGAAGCTGCCCTTCCATAGCATGTCTGCATGGAGCCATGAGGACACAGCAGATGTCATGGCTGAAACCTTCTTCTCCAAATGGAATCTGATTCCTGGAGGGAGATAGTCACAATTAATTATATTCATAACTAAGGGTAAATTCTAAGCTGAAGGTGCCCTTGAGAGAACCTGCAGCCTTACTCCACACAACGCAGGGTCATGCACCACACAGAGGTTGAAAAGGAGAGAGGGCTCATGCCCCTCAACCAGAAGACCTCCAAGCCCTACCCTACTCAAGATGGAAACCACCTCCCAATAGGCCTGTAGTGGGAAGCCCAGCTTTAACTCATGGGTCTTGGAGGGACATTTATCCAAACCAAA